TAACTATCATGATTTACACGTTTATGGATTGTATTTAATAGGGAGTATCGTAGGATATTAAGTAATTCATACAATTATTGCTAAAATAAAATTATATTGTAGAGGTGAGAAAGAGCCAGGGAAAATGGTTACCAGAACCATAGGTAGAGGGCTACACGGAGATAATATAATATAATTAATGTACATAATGGCTCAGCGACAGAGAAATTACTTTGGTAATTTTTTTAATATTACATCTAATACTATATTAGTGTATAATCAGTATAATATTTATCATATTAAATATTAATTGTTCATACTATTTTATCATCCATTACAATTCATATACAATATTTTTTTCTTTGTTAATCATTTACAGCTTAATCATTATTATTAAGTCATGACTATATAACACTATTTCTAAACAAGTATTTTGAAGTTTAAACAATATATCTAATATATATCTATGATATGACTTGTCTATTACAATAATTAAAATAATGTATCAATGTTCTTTTTTTTTTATCAAATTATTAAATTATTGTATGTTTATTATTATTATTATTATTTAATATAGGTTATATTTGATTAGGTAGGTTTATAATTTATATTAAGGATTTATCGTCTATACCTATGATATTTATATTATCATTATTATTATTATTTTAATATAGTAGAATAGATAAATGTTAACCGAATTAATAATTCTTAAATTTTGTGTGAATTGTGAATTTTAAACATTTTTCCCAAGAAAATATGAAAAGACGTTTTTCATGTGAAAATACTAAGTATTGGATTAACAACCAATCCTAGTTTAGCCAAAAAATGATGCTCTGCTGTTGAGTTTATTAATAGTTAACTAATACTGTTTTAATTAATACAAATAAAGAATAATGATTTTGTACTAGTCAAAACTCTAGACATAACCTGAGTATAATATTTAAATGTATATTATTATTAAATCAAAAAAAAAAAATGTTTATTATTGTAATTTAAATTATATATGAAGTCGAACAAAACAAATATTTGTACATTGTTTGTACGCTATTTTTGAATTCAAACATTTTATAATGTATTATAAACATTTACTATGATATTGATAAAAAAAAAAAGAATTAATACTTTCAATGTTTTTGTGGCCTTATAATAATATTATATTTCCAGTATGAATGTGATTCATCAATGTAATTTGTATTAAATTAAACACTATTTATATTTTCTAATATATGTATAAAAAAAATTATAACTCGAGGAAACTGAAAGGGGTAAGTGAAGACAGCCGTGGGTGTCGGTATTCAAGGACGGTAGAGCCAACGACCACCATTCACTCCACTAACCAGAAGTTTTCAAGCAATAATATGTAATAAACATATTATTAATATTAATAAATACGCATGACCATTGCCTTGGTGCCTTATTGGTGTTTGTATGCCTACAAAATTCATGTTTCACAGTCCAGCAAGAAAATACAGTCGGAGGAGGTTGGAACTTGGAGTACCGTTATTCCTTGCTACTGGATGAACAATGAACATGAAATCAAAAAAATACAACACTACCACTAACACAGCTACAGTTGCTAGACATCCCAAATCTGGGGTCCAGATTTAAATGGACAAGGGGTACATGTAACGAACATGTCGTCATCGACATCGTACATTACTCCCTACGTCTAGCAAAGCTAGTATGCCGAGTAAGGAAAAATATGAAATATATATTATGCTGACTATTTACTTAATACTATCTGATCCCGTTCACTTTGTTGCCCATTAAAAATTCCAACTCTATATGAGTAATATGTTTTTTTTTTTTATAATATAACAGTTACTATAAAACCAATTTTAAACCAATGGCACCCAATAATTATTATTATTATAGGTTTGAAAGTTGAAACCCACGGCAACCATTTATAAACAAAAATGTCCATCTGAAATCTTAAAAACCCTGTTTGAGCACCTCATCCCGGGGTTGGTCCTCTCCCTTTTTAAATTAGTCTATCTTCTAAACAGAGTCCTAATCTATCTATTTATATAAAAATATTTGATCCCATGCACTTCATTGCCCATTAAAATTATCGATAACAGTTCAGTGTTTTGCTTATTTTTGCTTTTTGTCAATCGTCGTGTTTCTTGCACCTTCTACTCCGTGCGCTTTTCCTGGACTTTCATATCGGTGCTATCGTCGCCTGTGAGTGTTTTCATGCTCTGGTTCGACCTACATTGGAAATTCTTCTGGATCTTAACTGTGGGGTACCGTGAGTACAGCCTGCACTTGCTTTATCTCCACTAATACCGCTTAGCGACTGTAACGAACATGTCGTCATCGACATCGTACATTACTCCCTACGTCTAGCAAGGCTAGTATGCCGAGTAAGGAAAAATATGAAATATATATTATGCTGACGCGATGTTTAGCTGACATCGCGTCAATAACCGACCAGAACTCCTGGCGGAAAGTAGTGAAGAGTGGGTAGTGGAGTCGAAGGCAAGGTTCAAGAGGCATAGAAGATAGTCGAGAGCGGACAACGACTAAAAGAGGACCTGTGGACGGCCAGCTCACCCACCTCGGATAGCAGCACCCACGACAAGTCGACACCTCATAGCTCCACCAGTGACCCTCAGTGAAGCTGTATACCTATCTAATAACTATTATTTAATGTTCTTATATTGTAAGATTTGATTTTAATAACAGTTAAAAAATTATATATGTACTTGAGTACTTGCTTTACATAAGGTAACCCTGATCCCTAGCAATAATGTCACACACCGAGGTCGAGTTTCCGAGACCTCGTTAATATAAACAGAACTCCACCGAGGGTGAAGAGGAGACGTTACACGACTATTGTTCTTATTTCATGTTACGTGGTTTGGGTAGGTACTCATGAAAATAATTACTAAACTTGATTTTTTTTTACTTTGGGTATAAATTTATTTAGCTGACGCAAACATAACTTGAAATATTACAATTAATAATACGAAATAGCTTAGAGGGTCGAACGACGTGCACTCGGTTGCGCGATACTATGTCGACTGACTTACAATAGTTTAATCGATCCGGTGTCCCGGTCGAGTCACCGATAACAGTACAACCGATAATAATAATATATAATGAGTAGTGACCGAACATGCCGCCCACCTTGGAACATTAAGTTTCAAAATTTTCTTATAGTTATTATACAGATACATTATCCTGCACATTAACATATATATTGTTATACAATTAACAGCTTATACCTGGCATAAAAAATAAAAAATACATATGTAATAGGCGTGGATACGCAAAAAAAAATAAATCATGACATATAATTACTATAAATATTAAATAATTCCATTTTTTTTTTTTTTTTTTTACTGTTGATCGAGTGGTGAATTGCCCTCGAAGGGAAGGGGACATAAATAACGAAAATTCGCCTTTGCAAGTTCGCACCTTGGCCACCCGTACTTGCCCATTGGAACCTTGAATGACCTCGACTACCCTGCCCATGGACCATTGGAGCGGAGGCACATTATCGTCGCGCAGGAGCACGACCGTACCAACTCCGAGTTTAGGGCCGCTGGAGCTCATCCATTTTGTCCTTTCCTGGAGTTGCGTTAGATAATCCCTCGTCCAACGGGCCCATAACTGTTGCGTGAACTGCACAACTCGTCGCCATCTCGACAACCGATTGGTCGGGACATCTCTCTCATCACGATCGGGTAGCGAAGTTAATGCGTCACCAATAAGAAAGTGGCCGGGGGTGAGAACGGATAAATCGGAGGGATGTGAGGACAAAGGAGTTAGAGGTCGCGAATTTAAAATTGCCTCTACACGTATTAATATAGTGTTCAACTCTTCAAAGGTGAGTGAGGCATTGCCTAGTGTACGATATAAATGAGCTTTCAGCGACTTCACAGCCGCTTCCCAAAGGCCGCCGAAATGTGGTGACCTCGGTGGTATAAAGTGCCATTGAATACTTGATTTGGATAATGTGTCTTGAATAAGCTCCTGATGTTCAGTAGATTGAAAAAGTGCTTGCAATTCTTGGAGTTGACGGTTGGCGCCCACGAAATTCGTTGCATTATCGGAATAAATGTCCGTGCACAGTCCGCGTCTATCACAGAACCGCTGCAACGCATTAAGAAACTCTTGAGTGGTCAGGTCGCCTACTAATTTTACGTGCATCACCTTAGTAATAAAACAAACAAATAAGCAAGCATATGCCTTATTCAATGGAGCATTCCGCCTTAAACTGGACTTGATCATAAATGGACCCGCAAAATCTACACCTGTCTTTTTGAATGCCCGTGTAGGCCGTACACGAGCCTCGGGAAGATCACCCATGATAGGCTGTACGACAGCAGGTCTATATTTAAAACATTTTATGCAGCGATGTACAACGCTACGCGCAATACTGCGTCCGTTAAGTGGCCAGTATTTTTGACGAACCGCGGATAATATAGCCTGTGGGCCACCATGCATTAATCTATCATGTTCGTGTATAAATATTAATTTGGTTAAAACATTTTTCGCAGGCAAAATTATCGGATGTTGCTGCGATTCATTTAGAGTAAGTGCATTTCCTAGGCGACCGCCCACCCTGATCAAATCATTTTTATCTAAAAACGGACGCAGGCGTAACAATGCACTTTTTGAGCTTACTTGGCTTGATTTACCTAAGTCCTTGATCTCACCTGCAAAATTACTAGCTTGCACTAACTTTATAATACTATTCGCAGCCTTGTCGATTTCATCTGCCTGAAGCGCACCAATTAAATTTTCTTTCTTCGACGCATTATTAATAAATCGTAGGCAAAATGCAGTAACGCGTATTAGTTTCGTTAGAGATGAGTATCTTTCTATGATCGACAAATTATACCTGTCTGTAATTACGTGAGATACCGTTCGCGCTTCTAATAAAACTTCGTCCGCTCTACTATAGATATTATTTTCTTTCGGCCAATCAGAAACATCTTTGTGCAACCACATAGGTCCCCTCCACCACAAATTTGATTCACCGATTTTTGTAGGACAACAGCCGCGCGAAACTATATCTGCCGGGTTATCCTTGGTGCTGACGTGGTGCCACTGCGAAATCGACGTAGTTTCATGTATTTCGCCAATGCGGTGTGCAACAAATGTTTTCCATCTTGCCGATTCTGACGATATCCAAGATAAAACGACGGTAGAGTCAGACCAAAAATATTTGTGCTCAATTGGTATAAATTGAATAAACTCGTCGCGTACTTGGCCGCCAGCCGCACTAGTAGGACGGCGGCTAATAGCTCTAGACGTGGCAATGAAATTGTTTTTAATGGTGCGACACGTGATTTCGAACAAATTAAATTAGTTATGACCTCACCATTATAGTTTTTTACGCGGAGATATAGACAAGCGCCATATGCTGTAAGTGATGCGTCCGCGAACCCATGTAATTGTATATCCGCCATGTCACCATCACCCACGAGCGAACGCGTAATTTTTAACGTGTTTAAATGTATTAAATTTGCACGGCACTTGCGCCACTCGCCTTCAATTTCTGTTGGTAACGTTGCATCCCAATCTACCCGCGTTTGCCATATTTTTTGCATTATGATTTTAAAACAAATTATTACAGGGCTTATTAAACCAAGCGGATCGAAAATTGCGGCAATCTCGGACAATATCGGACAATCGTTATTAGGTCATCGCGTAATCTTAATGCAGACTGTTTTGACATAGCTCCGCCGAGAAAATCGTCTACATAGAAATCACGACTTAGGGCCTGACAGGCTTCGGGAAATTTTGACGACTCTTGTTCGGATAATTTTTGTAAACAGGCCGTTGCCAGGTATGAAGCGGTGACTATGCCATACGTAACAGTTTTTAGTCGATATATATTTAGTGGCTGGCTTGGGTCTTCACGCCACAAAATGCGCTGGAAATCACGTTGGCTTTCCGACACCCAAATCTGCCGGTACATTTTTTTTATATCAGCTGTGAATACGTATTTGTGTATACCAAATCGCGTCATTATAGAGACCAAATCCTCTTGTACGGTGGGTCCCTTTAGCAGCACATCATTTAGACTTACGTTAGTACTTGTTCTCGCCGACACATCGAAAACCACGCGCAGTTTGGTACTAGTACTGCTTTCGTTGCGAACTGCATGGTGCGGTAAATAATAACTTTTATCATCTGGAATCGTGTTTTTCGTAATTTCCATGTGTCCAAGTTCGGAGTACTCTCTCATAAATTTGCTATATTCTTCCTTGAGCTTGGTATCGGTTTGAAATCGTCGTTCTAATGATAACATTCTGCGAAGGGCTACGTCATACGATTTTCCTAATCTAGGAGCATTGTCACGAAAAGGTAGACCTACTGTAAAACGCCCGTCTTCACCACGCTTTACATTTGACTCGAAATGTTGTTTACACCTTTTTTCCTCTAGTGTGTATACGTTGCAATTCTTTACCTCCTCTAAGCGCCAAAATTCGGCAATTTGATTTTCTATATTTGCGAATTCGGACATTACGCTCGTACATAATGAAAACGTTGAATTTTCGGCTTGATTTGTTGGCGAAGGGATGGGTCCCGCGATAACCCAACCTAAACGAGTGCCCTGGAAAATTGGCCCCCGTGAAACTTTCTGAATTTGTTCTTTAGTTAGTAATTCAAAATATATTTCGGCGCCTAAAATGATATCTACCTTTTTAGGCACATGGAAAGATGGATCCGCCAAGCTTATATCCACCGGGACCTTCAGTTCTGTCAGATTGACCGGCATCAACGGTAACTTGCTCGTTAAATTGGGAAGTGCGAAAAATTCCAAATTTAATGAATAGTCGTATATACTCGATTTAATAATAGTTGTTACTTTGTACGTTGACGTATGCGATGCATCATTAATGCCGATTATTGAACACGATGACTTTATTCGGTTTAAATTTAAACGCCGGGTCAATGACTAGGTCATAAAATTGTGCTGCGATCCACTATCCAGTAACGCACGGCACAAAACCGGTTTATATTGACTGTCGAATACGAGAATCTCGGCCGTCGATAACAATACCTGACCTGCTTCACTATTTTGACGTGCATGAGCATTTACCGATGCCGGTGCGCTATTAATCATTGCCTCATTAGCGATATCATTTCTATCGTTCTCCGCATGTGGAGTGGTGTTGGACGATTCGCCGCTGTTCCCCACACCGCCCGTATGCATATTGTTATTGTTAGTGCGCGACGAATGCAATAAACCATTATGTGGACGCGCGCATTTCGGACAATTACGTGACTTACATTTGTCGGAGTGTGCGCGTAAGCATATGTTACATAATTATAAGTCATTAGTTCTTTTTATTCTCTCTAGTATTGTGAGTGCTAGAAATTTGGTACATTTATAAATTGAGTGTGAGCCATTGCAATTATAACATCTGAAAGATGTGGTAGTTGTAAATGATGAAGACCTGTCCCCTGATTTCTTGAACTTTGGAATGTCTGTTGGTACCTGCGTATTCATGTTTTTATTTGATTCTATCGCCTCCAAAATTCGAAAACGGGATTTTAAAAAGTCTATTAGTATCGGCACTCTGAAATCTTCCATCTTGGTCGCTTCGCTTTCCCATGTTCGTCTCGTGTTTGCATCCAGTTTTGACGTTATTAAATGAGATAACAATGGGCCCCAACTGTCCGGAGTTTGTCCTAAAGACTGAAGCGCTTTTAAATGACCGGACACCGTGTCAATTAGCGTACGCAAATGTACTGCCGACTCTTTTTTCAGTGGCTCTAGATCAAATAACGCTTTCACGCGTACCTGGATCAACACCCTTTTGTTGTCGTACCTCCTGATTAAACTTGTCCATGCTACTTGATAATTTTCCGCCGTAGTTTGCAGACAATGTATAACCTTTTCCGCATCTCCACTGAGACACGATCGTAAATAAAAAAATTTTTGAATGTCGCTCATCGATTTATTTTCGTGTATTAACGCCATATATATATCGTAGAATGCGGCCCACTCTGTATACACTCCTGTAAACCTTGGTATCTCGATAGCAGCTAACTTGATTGCCGACTGTACGGGCTGTAGGCTTGCATGACCATTTGCTTCGTCGTTGCTGGATTTGTTCGAAGTCCGATTAGACGGATTTGAATTAACGCCTGGCGACGCTGCTCTAATTATTTTATTGCATTTAGCTACGTTATCATAATACAACTCCTCGAACTCGCTACGGTATTTCTCGCTCTCATTAGTTATCTCGGTTTCTTCTTCTTCAATTTGCGCCTGAACTTGTTGAAATTCATGCCATGTTTCTGTGGTCTTTTCCAATATTACCGTAATTTGATCGATATCTGGACTACCTTTATTATCACAGATGTAATTTGCTGTGCGAGTTAATTGGCCTTTTAGCTGGCCCCGGCGTAAGATAAGGTTCGCCAGCTCACTCATTGTATTATCTATGTTGTAGTGTGTACTTTGTCGCTAATCTATGCGCTGTCTAATTCTACCACACACTTTTCACTGCCTATACTTATATAAGCTTATATATAATGTCAATATTAGGAATAGGTAAACGGGAAAAGGAAATAAACCCCGAAACACTAACTTATAGACTATGTGCTATTAACAACTCGCTTACCTGCCTTCGATGACATTGACGAAGTTCTTCCTTGACGAAGTTCTTCCTTGACGAAGTTCTTCCTTGTCCTTCTCTATAATGAAGTATTGTACACGCACTTTGGATTTCGCGTTTAAAATCACTGGACGATCGATTTACGCGATGAGCATTAGACGCTCTTATGAATTAAACTGCGATATTATATAATGTTATTTTGCATCAACTAAATAATCCGGCTTGAAGGACCATGTTCTTATTTCATGTTACGTGGTTTGGGTAGGTACTCATGAAAATAATTACTAGACTTGATTTTTTTTTACTTTGGGTATAAATTTATTTAGCTGACGCAAACATAACTTGAAATATTACAATTAATAGTACGAAATAGCTTAGAGGGTCGAACGACGTGCACTCGGTTGCGCGATACTATGTCGACTGACTTACAATAGTTTAATCGATCCGGTGTCCCGGTCGAGTCACCGATAACAGTACAACCGATAATAATAATATATAATGAGTAGCGACCGAACAACTATCATTATTAACTTCATACTAGTTGGTGTATGTTTAGTTGCCTACAAGTGCGCCTTTATCGCAACTATTGTACTTCACCTGTTCGGTCTGTTGCATTACCGTCTTCTGCTTCTTAAGCTGCCTACAATCTACCCGTTTCCTGACATACTGTTATTCTTGGGTTTTTTTTTCGTGATTAGTAACCGCACTGGTACCAAGATCACTGATAACTCCAATGCCTCATCTTCTCGTCCAATTACACATCTTCAAGCCTCCAAGCCAGCTTCTCTCACCGTCTCGAGCCCTACCAAATCTACTAATGCTGATATAATGAACGCGCTTACTGATTTTCGAGCTGAATTCTTATCCAACAGTAAAGCCCAATCGGATGCTTCTTCTTCCCAATTTAGGCAATTGAAAGGTGAACTTGGGCGGCTGGTATCTCAAGTTTCTGAAGTCAGAAAACTGTCTATTACGGAACGAGGTTGTTATTCTTAAACGTAAAATCTCTAATATCGAAACCTCTGGACCATCATCTCCACCCTCCGAGTTCATCCCTCAAGTGTTGCAGGAAACTCTTGAGCGGGAAAAGTGTGGTTTCAACATATTGGCTATGGAGTGCCGGAATCATCTTCAACCAACACCTCTGAGAGTATCTCCGATGACAATGCTTCTTTTTTGGGAGTGCTTACATCTTTGGGTTCTTTTCCTCCTACTTGTTTAAAATGTGTGAGGCTTGGTAAACCAAAGCTCGGCGCTTCTCACCCTGTAAAAATTATTTTTGGTAGTAAAGAGAAGGCTTCAAGCTTACTAAGTGCATATAATGACCTAAAACAGAGTTTCAGTTACTTCCAAACTGGGTTCCATATAGTCCGTAACAAAACTCTCCTTCAACGCCAGCAGCTTAAAATATGTCACGCTGAGCTCGATCGTAGAACTGAAAGTAGTGAAAAAGACTTAAGTATCCGGTTCTTCAATGGGCTACCTAAAGTCATCTCTGTCAATTCAAAAAAACTTTGATCCCCGTCAATACCATCCTCCATACCACCAGAAAGCGACCCCTTAACTTTTTACTACCAAAATTGCCGCAGCTTACGTACGAAGCTCTTCACGTTGAACTGGAATACAGTAAATTTAAATTATTCTTTTATTGTTTTAACTGAGTCTTGGTTGCATCTATATATTCATATCAATGGGCTTGGTATGTATAATTACTATATTTTTAGGTTTGATAGATGCTTAAGTACCAGTAAATGTGCTAGAGGTGGAGGGGTCTTGATTGGTGACAAAAAAAATATAGCTTCCATTTCAATTACTACCCCAATTATAAATGTTGAACATATCTGTTTCCAGTTTACAATAAGTTCTTCTAAATACATTATTGGCGGTGTCTACTTCCCTCCCAACTTCCGGACTTAGACTGTTATGAGCAATACATCAGTATCATCTCATCAGTTGAGTCCCTGCTACAGCAATACCCTGGTCCCTGACTGCACTTACATCTTTCCTGGTGACTTCAACCTACCCGATACTGCTTGTTATAATGACAGTAAGGGCCTTTTGTACCCATCCGCTTCTAAAATGCGTGTAACATGTATCTCTGAATCCTTTGCCTACTTTTAATTTTTTCAAAAAAATTATTTATTCAACAACCAAGGTTCGCTTCTTGACCTAATATTTTGAAGCTCTAACCAGGTTTCTGTTATATCGTGCTCTAAACATTTAGTTCCACTTGACCCTTATCACCCTCCATTACCTTATTCATGGCCCTGCAGTACCAATTTACCCCAATTTAAAAATACTCACTCGTTTCATAATTTTCGTAAAGCTAACTATCCCAATATCATCAGGTCCATGTCCTCATTTTACTGGACCTCAACCTTCTCAAACCATTTTGTCGACTCTGCCGTGAATATTTTCATGCACGCTTTACACTCCTCTATACTTTAGTTTGTCCCCCTTGTACATTTTACTAGTTCAGTTTTTCCAGCATGGACCTCTAGAGAGCTAAAACAGCTTGTTTGACTTCAAATAAAGCACATGCACTATTTAAGTCAACATTCGATCAATTGCGATAAGCAATTAAAAGTTGTTAAAAGATTTTATAAACTATGGATTCGATTTGTAGTTGATGGTGGAACTAGACAAACAATTTGTATACTATTTTTAACATTCATAAGAGTTAAGATCTTAAAATAAATTAATGGATCTAATTTTTTCCCAATGATATAGCATGATTGTATGCTAAATATATAAATAAATAAATGATTATCCATTAATATTGTATTGTTAGCTCAGATTTATATATTTTGGAGCCATATGTTATGTAAATTGTGTTTATTTATATAAATGCACCTACAATATAAATAAAACAATATTTTTCGACATTGACAATATATGAAAGAACATACATAATAAGAGATAAGCAATTAAAAGTTGTAATTAATGAAATCAATATTTATTTAAATATCAATTAGCCAGTAAAAAAAAAATTTGGAGACCAAACAACATTAAATTAAATATATGACTAAATAAGAAAAATTGTAAAAAAAAACAATATAAATATATAATTTATAAGAACCGGAATGGAAGTTGAAAAATGTATAGATGTTGACAGTAATCTATATACTTAATGTTTTTGCATCCATCAAAAAGAATCAATAAATATCTAAGTTACTCGATTCACAAGTAATTATACAAGGAGATAATATTTAATAAATGAAATAAATTCTAATATATATGAAGCAATTTATATTTATAAAAAAAATATAATATTAAGATCAATCGTCCATTTATCCTTTCAAGTATTTAAAGCTAAACATTTTTTATTTTTTTATAAAATAGTACCTAATTATTTATTTTATAGTTTTCTTTTATAGACTAAAATTTTTTGTTATTTTTACTTTTATTATTATCACCTGTCTCTTAGTTTTCATATTGTGAAAATTCAAATGCAATGTTTTTCTATCTTTGAGAAAGGGCTTTGGCAAGTATATTTTATATAAATAAAAAATGAAAATAAAAAATAAATAAAATTATGTTCAATTATATATTTCTAGTAAACTAATTGTTCAGTTATACCATGATCTCAGCTTTTCATAATTGATGTTGAAGAAATGATTCCAATCGTGTTTTTGTTGAATTTTAGATTCAATTTGACGTTGATGATTGCACTAGAAAAACAATTATTATGTTATTTATAACATTCCTTAAAGAAAAAGCTTAAAAATAAATTATTGGATCTAAATTTTTCCCATTGGAATAGCATGATTGTCAATTTATATTGCATAGTTAGTTCACGAATATATATTATAAAGCTAAATATTATTTTAAATGTTTTTATTTATAAACACACCTACAATAGAAAAAAGACAACATTTTAACATTCATACTTAATGAAATAACATACATATAAACCAATAAGCGATAAGCAATTAAAAGTTGTTCAAAGATTTTATAAACTATGGATTCGATTTGTAGTTGATAGTGGAACTAGAAGAACAATTTGTATACTATTTTTAACATTCATAAGAGTTAAGATCTTAAAATAAATTAATGGATCTAATTTTTTCCCAATGATATAGCATGATTGTATGCTAAATATATAAATAAATAAATGATTATCCATTAATATTGTATTGTTAGCTCAGATTTATATATTTTGGAGCCATATGTTATGTAAATTGTGTTTATTTATATAAATGCACCTACAATATAAATAAAACAATATTTTTCGACATTGACAATATATGAAAGAACATACATAATAAGAGATAAACAATTAAAAGTTGTAATTAATGGAATCAATATTTATTTAAATATCAATTAGCCAGTAAAAAAAAAATTTGGAGACCAAACAACATTAAATTAAATATATGACTAAATAAGAAAAATTGTAAAAAAAAACAATATAAATATATAATTTATAAGAACCGGAATGGAAGTTGAAAAATGTATAGATGTTGACAGTAATCTATATACTTAATGTTTTTGCATCCATCAAAAAGAATCAATAAATATCTAAGTTACTCGATTCACAAGTAATTATACAAGGAGATAATATTTAATAAATGAAATAAATTCTAATATATATGAAGCAATTTATATTTATAAAAAAAATATAATATTAAGATCAATCGTCCATTTATCCTTTCAAGTATTTAAAGCTAAACATTTTTTATTTTTTTATAAAATAGTACCTAATTATTTATTTTATAGTTTTCTTTTATAGACTAAAATTTTTTGTTATTTTTACTTTTATTATTATCACCTGTCTCTTAGTTTTCATATTGTGAAAATTCAAATGCAATGTTTTTCTATCTTTGAGAAAGGGCTTTGGCAAGTATATTTTATATAAATAAAAAATGAAAATAAAAAATAAATAAAATTATGTTCAATTATATATTTCTAGTAAACTAATTGTTCAGTTATACCATGATCTCAGCTTTTCATAATTGATGTTGAAGAAATGATTCCAATCGTGTTTTTGTTGAATTTTAGATTCAATTTGACGTTGATGATTGCACTAGAAAAACAATTATTATGTTATTTATAACATTCCTTAAAGAAAAAGCTTAAAAATAAATTATTGGATCTAAATTTTTCCCAATGGAATAGCATGATTGTCAATTTATATTGCATAGTTAGTTCACGAATATATATTATAAAGCTAAATATTATTTTAAATGTTTTTATTTATAAACACACCTACAATAGAAAAAAGACAACATTTTAACATTCATACTTAATGAAATAACATACATATAAACCAATAAGCGATAAGCAATTAAAAGTTGTTCAAAGATTTTATAAACTATGGATTCGATTTGTAGTTGATAGTGGAACTAGAAGAACAATTTGTATACTATTTTTAACATTCATAAGAGTTAAGATCTTAAAATAAATTAATGGATCTAATTTTTTCCCAATGATATAGCATGATTGTATGCTAAATATATAAATAAATAAATGATTATCCATTAATATTGTATTGTTAGCTCAGATTTATATATTTTGGAGCCATATGTTATGTAAATTGTGTTTATTTATATAAATGCACCTACAATATAAATAAAACAATATTTTTCGACATTGACAATATATGAAAGAACATACATAATAAGAGATAAGCAATTAAAAGTTGTAATTAATGGAATCAATATTTATTTAAATATCAATTAGCCAGTAAAAAAAAAATTTGGAGACCAAACAACATTAAATTAAATATATGACTAAATAAGAAAAATTGTAAAAAAAAACAATATAAATATATAATTTATAAGAACCGGAATGGAAGTTGAAAAATGTATAGATGTTGACAGTAATCTATATACATAATGTTTTTGCATCCATCAAAAAGAATCAATAAATATCTAAGTTACTCGATTCACAAGTAATTATACAAGGAGATAATATTTAATAAATGAAATAAATTCTAATATATATGAAGCAATTTATATTTATAAAAAAAATATAATATTAAGATCAATCGTCCATTTATCCTTTCAAGTATTTAAAGCTAAACATATTTTATTTTTTTATAAAATAGTACCTAAATATTTATTTTATAGTTTTCTTTTATAGGCTAAAATTTTTTGTTATTTTTACTTTTATTATTATCACCTGTCTCTTAGTTTTCATATTGTGAAAATTCAAATGCAATGTTTTTCTATCTTTGAGAAAGGGCTTTGGCAAGTTTATTTTATATAAATAAAAAATGAAAATAAAAAATAAATAAAATTATGTTCAATTATATATTTCTAGTAAACTAATTGTTCAGTTATACCATGATCTCAGCTTTTCATAATTGATGTTGAAGTAATGATTCCAATCGTGTTTTTGTTGAATTTTAGATTCAATTTGACGTTGATGATTGCACTAGAAAAACAATTATTATGTTATTTATAACATTCATTAAAGAAAAAGCTTAAAAATAAATTATTGGATCTAAATTTTTCCCAATGGAATAGCATGATTGTCAATTTATATTGCATAGTTAGTTCACGAATATAAATTATAAAGCTAAATATTATTTTAAATGTTTTTATTTATAAACACACCTACAATAGAAAAAGGACAACATTTTAACATTCATACTTAATGAAATAACATATATATAAACCAAAAAGCGATAAGCAATTAAAAGTTGTTAAAAGATTTTATAAACTATGGATTCGATTTGTAGTTGATGGTGGAACTAGAAAAACAATTTGTATACTATTTTTAACATTCATAAGAGTTAAGATCTTAAAATAAATTAATGGATCTAATTTTTTCCCAATGATATAGCATGATTGTATGCTAAATATATAAATAAATAAATGATTATCCATTAATATTGTATTGTTAGCTCAGATTTATATATTTTGGAGCCATATGTTATGTAAATTGTGTTTATTTATATAAATGCACCTACAATATAAATAAAACAATATTTTTCGACATTGACAATATATGAAAGAACATACATAATAAGAGATAAGCAATTAAAAGTTGTAATTAATGAAATCAATATTTATTTAAATATCAATTAGCCAGTAAAAAAAAAATTTGGAGACCAAACAACATTAAATTAAATATATGACTAAATAAGAAAAATTGTAAAAAAAAACAATATAAATATATAATTTATAAGAACCGGAATGGAAGTTGAAAAATGTATAGATGTTGACAGTAATCTATATACTTAATGTTTTTGCATCCATCAAAAAGAATCAATAAATATCTAAGTTACTCGATTCACAAGTAATTATACAAGGAGATAATATTTAATAAATGAAATAAATTCTAATATATATGAAGCAATTTATATTTATAAAAAAAATATAATATTAAGATCAATCGTCCATTTATCCTTTCAAGTATTTAAAGCTAAACATTTTTTATTTTTTTATAAAATAGTACCTAATTATTTATTTTATAGTTTTCTTTTATAGACTAAAATTTTTTGTTATTTTTACTTTTATTATTATCACCTGTCTCTTAGTTTTCATATTGTGAAAATTCAAATGCAATGTTTTTCTATCTTTGAGAAAGGGCTTTGGCAAGTTTATTTTATATAAATAAAAAATGAAAATAAAAAATAAATAAAATTATGTTCAATTACATATTTCTAGTAAACTAATTGTTCAGTTATACCATGATCTCAGCTTTTCATAATTGATGTTGAAGTAATGATTCCAATCGTGTTTTTGTTGAATTTTAGATTCAATTTGAAGTTGATGATTGCACTAAAAAAACGATTATTATGTTATTTATAACATTCATTAAAGAAAAAGATTAAAAATAAATTATTGGATCTACATTTTTCCCAATGGAATAGCATGATTGTCAATTTATATTGCATAGTTAGATCACGAATATATATTGTAAAGCTAAATATTATTTTAAATGTTTTTATTTATAAACACACCTACAATAGAAAAAAGACAACATTTTAACATTCATACTTAATGAAATAACATATATAAAAACCAATAAGCGATAAGCAATTAAAAGTTGTTAAAAGATTTTATAAACTATGGATTCGATTTGTAGTTGATGGTGGAACTAGAAAAACAATTTGTATACTATTTTTAACATTCATAAGAGTTAAGATCTTAAAATAAATTAATGGATCTAATTTTTTCCCAATGATATAGCATGATTGTATGCTAAATATATAAATAAATAAATGATTATCCATTAATATTGTATTGTTAGCTCAGATTTATATATTTTGGAGCCATATGTTATGTAAATTGTGTTTATTTATATAAATGCACCTACAATATAAATAAAACAATATTTTTCGACATTGACAATATATGAAAGAACATACATAATAAGAGATAAGCAATTAAAAGTTGTAATTAATGAAATCAATATTTATTTAAATATCAATTAGCCAGTAAAAAAAAAATTTGGAGACCAAACAACATTAAATTAAATATATGACTAAATAAGAAAAATTGTAAAAAAAAACAATATAAATATATAATTTATAAGAACCGGAATGGAAGTTGAAAAATGTATAGATGTTGACAGTAATCTATATACTTAATGTTTTTGCATCCATCAAAAAGAATCAATAAATATCTAAGTTACTCGATTCACAAGTAATTATACAAGGAGATAATATTTAATAAATGAAATAAATTCTAATATATATGAAGCAATTTATATTTATAAAAAAAATATAATATTAAGATCAATCGTCCATTTATCCTTTCAAGTATTTAAAGCTAAACATTTTTTATTTTTTTATAAAATAGTACCTAATTATTTATTTTATAGTTTTCTTTTATAGACTAAAATTTTTTGTTATTTTTACTTTTATTATTATCACCTGTCTCTTAGTTTTCATATTGTGAAAATTCAAATGCAATGTTTTTCTATCTTTGAGAAAGGGCTTTGGCAAGTTTATTTTATATAAATAAAAAATGAAAATAAAAAATAAATAAAATTATGTTCAATTATATATTTCTAGTAAACTAATTGTTCAGTTATACCATGATCTCAGCTTTTCATAATTGATGTTGAAGAAATGATTCCAATCGTGTTTTTGTTGAATTTTAGATTCAATTTGACGTTGATGATTGCACTAGAAAAACAATTATTATGTTATTTATAACATTCCTTAAAGAAAAAGCTTAAAAATAAATTATTGGATCTAAATTTTTCCCATTGGAATAGCATGATTGTCAATTTATATTGCATAGTTAGATCACGAATATATATTGTAAAGCTAAATATTATTTTAAATGTTTTTATTTATAAACACACCTACAATAGAAAAAAGACAACATTTTAACATTCATACTTAATGAAATAACATACATATAAACCAATAAGCGATAAGCAATTAAAAGTTGTTCAAAGATTTTATAAACTATGGATTCGATTTGTAGTTGATGGTGGAACTAGAAGAACAATTTGTATACTATTTTTAACATTCATAAGAGTTAAGATCTTAAAATAAATTAATGGATCTAATTTTTTCCCAATGATATAGCATGATTGTATGCTAAATATATAAATAAATAAATGATTATCCATTAATATTGTATTGTTAGCTCAGATTTATATATTTTGGAGCCATATGTTATGTAAATTGTGTTTATTTATATAAATGCACCTACAATATAAATAAAACAATATTTTTCGACATTGACAATATATGAAAGAACATACATAATAAGAGATAAGCAATTAAAAGTTGTAATTAATGGAATCAATATTTATTTAAATATCAATTAGCCAGTAAAAAAAAAATTTGGAGACCAAACAACATTAAATTAAATATATGACTAAATAAGAAAAATTGTAAAAAAAAACAATATAAATATATAATTTATAAGAACCGGAATGGAAGTTGAAAAATGTATAGTTGTTGACAGTAATCTATATACATAATGTTTTTGCATCCATCAAAAAGAATCAATAAATATCTAAGTTA